GCTGCCAGCAGCTCTCTTTTTGTTGTTTATTAAAACTTTTTGTTAAACTTTGAAACCTGCCTGCGCCCTGGATCCGTTCCTGTCCGAACCTCACACCTATAACACCCTGTCTAAGAATTCCAAGAAGTCTGGGTTCTCTAAACTGGTATTTGGCATGTAGACACCAAAAACAGTTAAAGCCCGTATCTAAATTGAAGGCTCAGAGAAGCTACTCTGTAACGTACTGAGGAAAACTCCAACACAGGTGTCAAGCCAGGGTACTACCCCAGCACAGCACCTCTCAACTCCAGAGTAAGGTAGCCCATCTCAAATAGACTTGTTCCAGAACCCACATTGTGTGTTATCCTTTTCCACCAGAGAGGTAACAGAACATGTCCCAAAAGCCAGGGTTGGTAGGACAGGATCAGAAGCCCCCATCTTCAGCTGCTACATATGGTACATTGCACCTGACCRTTCCTGCAGGTAGTGGGCCCACAATATGATCCACACGAGCTGATAACTGTGACTAAGCTACCACTTTGGAAGGGCTATCATACCAAAATATCATCTACAGACGTGTAGCTTTTCAAAAATTATGGTGAAGTTTTGCCACCCGAGATGGACCAGTGAAAATTTGGCCTCTGGCCCATGGACATGTAGCTCATTCAAGCTGAGCTCCATGGGTAGATGCCTGGGTACCAGGTGCTTGCTAATGAGCTCTTTCCAAGGCCTGGCTCGAGGGTGAGGCTCTGGAACCTATAGTAGATCTGGGTGATGGGCGTTGAGCTCTTTGTTTTGTCCAGTCCATACAAGTGTTTTAAGTCAAGTCATCTAAGAAAACCACTCTGCTTTGTGATACTCTATTGGGGGCAATTGACCTAGACAGCATAACTCATTGGGTGAACATCCACCTCTGGACAATATAAATCAAAATACCATTTGACACTAAAGTRTCAATATATAAAAAATGGTGGTTATGTGGCTTTAGAAGGTATGGTTGGGGCTTTGAATCTTTTTGTATATTGCTCTGAGATTACTTTTTTGTGATGTAGCACTTTATAAACATAATTTGTTTCATTAAAGTCTATGCAGACTAAGTGACTTTTGGTAGTTGGTTGCAAATGTTTCAGGTGTTTTTTTCTCTATTTGGCTGTCTTTGAACCTGGAATTAAACAGGATTTTCAATTTCATTCTAACTAATGCATTATATGTACACTGTATAAATGAATATAATATACAATATTTTTTCTCTGTTGGGCTTGTTTTTATTAACAGTACATATTAGATATTTTGTTACTATCATTGGTTTTTGTTCAACAACATTTAATATTTTATTAAACAACAACTTTGGTTACTTTATGTTTCAGATAAATGTATTTTTATTTAACAAAGTGAATAATTTGGTTTCAACATTGCTCTCTAATGGTTTCCCTCCTGCTGTACCTCCATCCAGGAGACGAGGCATCCATCTTCCAGCAACAACAGTGGAGGAGATGAAACAGAAGATTATTCTTCACGAGCCTGGCACACTCACGAGTTTCTTGGAAAAATTTGAAGAGTACATGCACGTGATTGCGTAAGTACTAATATGTCACCATTAGGTTTTATAATTACCCAGAGTTTTCTTAAGGAGGCCATGACAAGGARAGCAAAGTGTGGTGCAGGAGATATAAGGAGTCAAAGACTGTTTACAGTGAAGGCCAAAGTCTAGTTTATTATCACACTCATCCTACAGTTATGACTCATCTAAAGGGGTGTAGGGATAGGTTGTGACCGGTGGCATTGGTATGTAAGACCACGGTGGGATTATGCAATGTAACTCCTCCACAGCACAGGGTGTGGATTCCAAATGGCAAACATGCAGAACAGGGACACAGTATTGAGATCAAGTGGTAGGTTGGCAACCAATCTAACAGGACAGTAAACTTCTAAGGGGAGCCTTTCATCTGTCACTTATTTTTAATCCTGAAATCTTTAGAAAAGACCAACTACGGTCTTTCAGACGCTCAAAGGCTGCTCTCAGCAGAGTTTGAACAGCAGCGCACGGTTGTGTTGAATGGAGCATTCTGTCAAAGCTCAACATTACAGAACTTGCTGGAGGAGCTCAGTTCATACAGCACTGCTGAATGTGCTTAGCTGGGATATGCATGTGTGTTTTTGGAGAGGAATGAGAACAACAGACATTCAGGCCCACGCAGTAACTGCTCGAAGCGGTGCTGTTGAATGTCACGTGACCTGGTCCAAAGTAAAGACTGTTTTCACTGCTTCTTTATGCAACAGAGTGGGACCATGTGGGCAAAACACCCAGTAATATGCTGTTGCTGTTTTAATCAGTTATTTTATAGAGAAACAAAACCCAGCCCAAAATAATACCCATGTTTATTAGGAATAATGGTAATGATCCTCAGATTGATGGTATAATTTATCAACATTTGTCTGACTTAAACCTACATTCCATCACGTTATGCTTGTAGTTTAATGTGATTAATAAATTAATCTTTAAGCTTTTCAAATATTACAGTTGGACCATACCAGCTGGAATAACAAAAATCTCTTATCAGACTGTTAGACCTCTGTTGACTCTGCCTGTGGTTCAGCTGTCATTTATTATGCCACTTTAAATGTACTTTTTTGTTCCCATCATGTACTGTAAAGCACTTTGCATAGAAAAAAACTGACCTTGCCTAATTTGATCTTCTACAGCTGCAAAGCTGTTTAATCTGGAGTTTACAGCACAAACACAAAACAGACAAAAACTGTCAAGCATACACTCAGAGTTGTAAAGTAACTAAGTACAAATACTTCTTTACTGTACTTAAGTAGAATTTTTGGGTAACTGTACTTTACTTGAGTAATTATTTTTCAGCCTACTTTTTACTTCTACTTCTTAAATTTTCAAACAATTATCTGTACTTTCTACTTCTTACATTTTTAAAAAAGGCAAGAAGTAGAAAATCGTTACGTTAATTTCATTTTGCTTGTTTTTATTCCAGATTGTTGTTGTAAAAAATTAATTCTATCCATATAAACTGTGCCTCCTATAGAGTGAATTTAACTGTGGTTGAAAGAGAAGTATAAATATATAAAACTCTGATACCGTGTTAGTTTGTACACAAACAAATCATGTCACACTCCAGCAGGACACAATCATTAAAATAAAAGGACTGTACTTTAGAAGTATTTGTATTTCATGAATTACTTTATTACATTTGGCCACAGCCCTCAGATAGATTTTTATTTTGGGGGGAAAGCTTTGTGCAGCCTTGATATATGTATATAAACTGAAACAACTGGACTAGTGCATGCTAAATGTAACAAATTAATTATTTTAATACAACAGTCATTTCTGCATTTTTTGGTCACCTCCTAATACATGTCCTTACAGAAAATCTAACTGCTTATTTTAAATCAATACTTTTACTTTTAATACTTAAGTACAAAAAGTATCAGATACTTTAAGACTTTTACTCAAGTAATATTCCTAAAGGAAACTTTAACTTTTACCAAGTAATTTTTTTGGTAATATACTTGTACTTTTACTCAAGTATCACTTTGTGGTACTTTATACAACACTGCATATACTAAAATCTCAAAACCACTTCCATAAAACTTACTGCGACTGTTAATGATTTTAAGCCCAAGACACACACACACTCACATGCACACGCACACACACACACACACACACACACACACACACACACGCACGCACGCACGCACGGACGGACGCACGCACGCACGCACACACACACACACGTTTGTCTCATATTTCACATCATATCAATAACGTGTTTTATTGCTCATTTTTCAAGTCGTTGCTGTTTAGGAGCTGATAAGGAGTGTCTAATGGTTGTACAGTTTATAACAGAGATAAGTTTATCAGAGCCAGAGGGCAAAGCTCTTCATTTTCTGTTTCCTCTGCAGCGGTGACAGAGAGGCCATAAAGAGGATCGCCTATGAGTTTGTAGAGGATAAAGCTAAGGAAGGAGTCATCTACGTCGAGGTCAGATACAGCCCACATTTACTGGCTAACACTAAAGTGGACCCTGTTCCATGGAACCAAAAAGAGTAAGTCCGTCTTTTTTCAATCAGCCTGGCTGTTTGTCCAACATTTGTTGCTCTGTTATATAATAAATGTGATGGTTTTCTTCTTTCTGCTCAGAGGCGATGTGAGTCCGGATGAGGTGGTGCGTCTGGTTAACGAGGGCCTCAGTGAGGGGGGGAGGGCCTTCAAAATCAAAGCCAGGTCCATTCTATGCTGCATGCGCCACATGCCAAGTAATGAACTGTTCATGCTCCTGTCTGCCAAAACAAGCTTGTGAGATACAGTTCCTACATGTCCTGTCTTCTGTCTGTCCCAGACCTGCAGACCTCTGCCTCAGCTCCTCCCATTACACAAAAACTGCATCAACATGACAGAAAGCACAACATCATTTCATGCTTCTAAAGGTGCAGGCTACATGGTGACATCATAGGTTTAAAATGATATTTAGTCATTCAGAAAGACAGTTTAAARTCTTCTATAGTCATTTCTAACCCAATCTTAAATAATGCGAAGAATTAGCATGAAGAAATGATCACAGCTACCATTAAGTTCATTGGGCCTCATGCAAGAACATGTTCGTATTCTTATCCTAAATTTCTCTTACTTTTGTTCGTACAAAGGGTTCGTACCACCATGTCACGTCAGATTCAACAAACTCTTCTGTCTTCAGGAAAAGTGTGTAAATGAGCTGCGTAAATTCCACCTGTTCGTATCCAGCTGCTCGTGCACGCGAGAGGAGATTAGCATAATTACCACCCCAAAAACACCATATAAGGCTATGTTTCCTGCCTCAGATACAAAGAAGTGTTCATTCATTCATTCATTCACTTTACGAGT